ATGGAATTTTTCATAGATCGATTTTTCCAACGCCCGAGATTGAGTGATACATCATTCAACATTTCCGCAACAAATTACCAGTTCGTAACGTGGGATTAAAACAAATTAATCTCTTCAATCGAATGGTCTCGATAGAAATAAATTAACAATTTTTTATCTGGTTTTCTCATACAGAATTTATAAATTCGCCTGTGCCAATTGATATTTCGATTGATGCAGCATTAATGTCGTGGGTCACCTGGAATTTCCACCGCTGATTTGAGAGAGAATTTCTAATGTTGAATTTGCTCAGTGTCAATTGGCATTTTCTCACTGAATCGACTGGATTTTTGTCATCAAAATAGTAATGAGCATCGATGGCTAAGCTTTCACGGCCAGCCTTGTCGATGCATACCTTATACACCTCGACTTTCCCCAACGAGTGAAATGAACGAGGTATAACAAAACATATTCAACCATCCAAGAGACCTTGGAGTGAACGCAAGAGGAGTGGGCCAATCCATGTGAGAGAGGATAGCAATAGTGAACAAAATATGTTGAATAAGAAAAAAATACGTCGGATATGGCTAAGCATACGGGAGTGGCCTAGCCCGAGGAATGTCACTCGCCAATCGACCAGATTGCTCACCACAACTTGAAGATATGCACGTCACAAATGTCCAAATACCGAAGAAACCCGAGTGGAAATAAAATTCTCACCGCCAGTCAAATTATTGCACACCTTAAAAAAAATCCATAAATACATTCCTCGGAAAATTCCTTGGCTATTCCTTCAACCCCTCTCAATTTATTCCTAAACGATCGAAAGTGATTATTGCGCCTGAAGGTTGAGTAGACGAAAAGGTACAAATAGGTTTCAGAAATCTACAGCGATAAATGGAAAAATTCTATCACTTCTCACTGGTTGTTTTTGCCGAGACCTTGCAAAAAATTTCGTGGAAAAATCAAATAGGCTTCTGATGAAATGCCAATCTCCTATTCGCCGCATGAAGAACAAGCTGAAGACCTTTAAGTAGTCGCGACGGCATTAGAAAACGAAATGATAGAATATTCCCAAGCCTCTAATGTCTCGAAAATTGCAGAGATCCATTCCCCACAAACAAGGCTAACCCGAGAGAAGCAAAAAAAAAAAATAAGCAATGGCTCAACATCGTTTGATATACCTTGGGTGAATGTGGAAACAGTAATATACATAAAGGAGAAAATGTATATAATGTCCTGGCTAGAATAAACCTCCGGGACAAGGCCAACCACCACCGTCAATGATAAATAACTCTCGCGATTTGTTTTTTTTTTCTTCTATTTTTTTCAATAATTTCATTGAAATCATCTTCATCCTCCTGCGAAATTCCAACTGCTCGAGGCTGAAAACCAGACACTTTCATGGACAATAGTCAATATAAGGCTAATGTTCTGTGACTAATTTGAAAATTATCACGTTTCTTGCAGTTATTCCTTTTATATTACCATCAGTCTAATTGAAAATTTCTCTTTCTCTTGTGGAAAAAGGAGTTAAGAAATTGTGAGAATTACGGATATTAATTGGGAGTTGATTATTTCAGCAGTGAAATTATTTCGAGTGAATTTTCTTGCTCGTTCGAGCGATATCTCAATTCCAGTCATTATCGCGTTATTTTTAACTAATAGATTCACAGTTCAATTCAATATTATTTTTGCTAAAGAACATGAAAAAAAAAATCTCTCAGATAGAGATCGTATCGTTTTCGGACACCCAGTTCATCCATTGCTGCACCTATTAACCCTCGACGTCCAAAACAACCCCCAATACAAAATCAAAATGACTTACCCTGGGTTTTAATAGCCGGAGCCAAAATCAACAAACACCCTGCGATGAAAAAATAATCAAGCCCTCCAGGTCTTGTGCGACCAGGTGGTCGTGTCTCTCGACCCATTCCGCACCGGCTCACTCGATCTTCCAAACTCAAAAAAAAAAAAAAACAACTCGCCACTGCAATAATCACGTTTCACTCACGTTAGACTGAAAAAAAAAAGAAACCAAAAATCCAAAATAATTCGTCTAAATCCTAAAGTGATGCTCTCGCTTTTTCGAAATCCAAAATGTTCTCGCTATATCACACAATCATAATGCCTCATCATTCTCCACTCGTTCTATCGAATGAAAACCTATTCAATCGGTCAACCTATTTTTTAATCAATTGATGATTAATATATAATAATCACTCCGTTAACTGTCATGCCCAGTGCTCCAGTGTGAACTGACTTTTCAGTCACAAGTAAGAATCCCAGTAAGTCCCCAACTGGAGAAAGGTACCCCCAGCTGGATGGTCTTAGGTGGTCCCTGGTTCGTTCATCGCAGCATTACTTAGACCATTCCCACTCCAAAAGACTTATCCAGACTCATTCCCCTCTCTCTCCTCGCACCCGTTTTTCCTATCATTCACCAGGCCTGTTTCTTCTCGTACCCGGTGTTGTACCGTGTTTTGTACTTGTCTGCAGTACATCGTGATGCCTCAACATCTGGGATGAGACCCGTGGATAGGACAACAAACCCGGGGAGAGACCATTTTTTTAATCAATGAGATGACAAAAAAAATGGAATTCTCTCTTGTGATGTTGCTCTTGTTATTCTCGGTGAGATTGGAATGGACTGATCTAGTAGAATTCCTCGATGTACCGTATTTTCTTGGAGTAAGTAGCGAATGGAGGAGGCGCATGTGTGGGTAATAGTGAGTAGGTGCAAGCGGAACGTTGTGCAAGGTGTCTACACTATATTTGGATTTTATGGGTCTGATAAATTGTCCGTTAGATGGGCATTTGAAATTATTTCGGATGAAGTTGTCGCCATTTTTGACACATTGTTTATTTATTTTTTTTATAAGCCTAGTAGGTGTAACATTAAATAGGCTGTTCAAAAGATGGCCGCACAGGTGATTAAAAATGGTAGATAAATTCAGTGAAATTTGAATTCACAGGGGAATTAGTCGTAAAGGCGAATGAGGAAAGGCCAAATATCAGTCAGGTGACCATCAGGTGTGCAAGAAGTCGACGAGTCTCGTCTGGGCGCGACCGGAGGACCTACATTCGATTAACACGGAAGAGGTGGTGCTTGACACTCCTGTGTCCCCTGTATTACCAAAAAGATACCTCTGGATATCCCAACGCAATTGCCACTGAACCAGCACGACCCCCTTTTCCTCCATCATCTAGCTGACCCCAATAGGCTCGATATGAAAATAACATTTATTTTTCAATTATTAATATCATTTACCCAGTGGTAATTTCGAATGCACTCTCTAACTGCAATCATTCATACCGAATGTCCGTGTTCTCAGCTTACACGCGTTAGTTCTCGGGTTTTTTTTTCTTTTTTTTTTTAATAGGCTTTAGTCTGCTTTTAGAAATATCAACTTTTACAATTTCACGGAGGGGGGGACCGGTTTCAGATGAATTTTCACCAGCTGGGGCAGGTTAATGCGGTAGAGTATTTGTTATTATTATTTTTGATTGGAAAATATAAATTTCACGGTGTTTAATTGAAAATGAAAAGTAAGGAAGAAAGGAAATTTAAGGAATCTATCGTGATACGTAACAAGGCGTAACCGTGAGCTTCCTCCTGTTTTTCCGGTGTTCTGAGTTTTGTTCCTTGAATTATGCAACGTGGAAAAACAACGTGTCAGTACTGTGGATTATTTCTATTGTTCGATATGAATTTATGTGACAAACACTTTTCAATTAGTTTCAATTTCACGAGCTGTTGACTGGAACAGAAATCATGAAATTTCGAATTTCACTGAGAGATGAGGGAAACTTCTCATTTTTCAACATAAAATCCAATGATTCAACACCGAATTAATAACTCTGATTTAATTTCATATCAAATAAATTAATAACATATAGATGGAAAATGTGGAAGGGCAAAATCCCAAGGTCACGGCAAGAATCAAATCCAAATAATCGGGATTGTAGGTCGATAAGAATGTGAAGAAAGTTTAAAATTAATTATTGGTCCGGAGAGATAGTCGAAGGTACCTAGGGTAGAGATACCTCGAGAATATCCGCAGGCCGTATCTATACATCTCAACCTTTAGAGACTTTCACTTAATAGTCGCTACTTGCTAGTCCCGAGGATTCCCCTCTCACCCCCTCACACATCATTACTTTAATTGTGAATGGCGTGGTAAATAGCCTCGACGAAATTCCCCTCATGATGTGGCAATTTTTATTTATTTTTTCGCAGTATTTATTTGTCCATTAGACGGTGAAAATTCAGGGAATTTCGACTAGACGAGAGCCAACTGTCGGTTTGAGAAGTGATTCGGGTATCCGGGAATCCGAGGATCCGGGTCAGTGGAACGTAGAGCGCACGTTCTGCTTGCGCTCCTCTGTACGATAATAAATAATGAATAAACGACTGCGGCAGATACAGCGAGTCCCAATCCCGAACGTGCGGTATTTCGAATTTCTTTTGAGAATATTTCCAGTGAGTTTCACCGGAGAACCCCAGAGGGGATCGTTTCGGCTCCCATCATCTCTCATTTCAAATTTTTTTTTCACTCTTTCCAGATTAATATGCCACTTATCGTACGAGTTCATCCTGGCAATCGATATTTTTCCGATGACCGATTTTTTACCTTTTCTTAAACTTCTATTTACATTCAATTTTTTTTTTTCCATTTAATAAATTATTTCTGCAATTCATTTTATTATGAAAGTATTTAGTGAATATTTTGACTTCCACTGAAATATCATTCTGAGTAAAAATGTTTTTTATCATTTTAATTCTTGTTGAGCTCTTTGGAATATTCAGTGGAATGTTTTGAAGAAAGCGAAAGGTTTTTCTAATCAGCTCTTTCGTCCGTGGAATCTGAGACTCTCCCTTGAAATGTATCGATGATCATTGGGAAATCAATTTCTCCTGTCAGTGAGACTCGAAATTCCCAAAACGTCACCATTCATTTAAACAAATCATATCATTAAAAAAAAATGGAAAGATTGAAATAAAAAAGGACGCACCGTAGTTGAATAATTGTAATTATCTTTAATTACTAATTTGTCACATGTTTCTTTCCAAACCGACGAAAACTGAAATTCGGGAGATAGCGAAGTTCTCCGTCCCATTTCCTCAGCATTTCGCACTGAGAAGACACCAAAATATTGGGAATTTCTGTAAAAAAAAAACGACAAAAAAAATGTCAAGCAATGAAATGAATGAGTTAATTAATCAATTAATTAAAATTAATTTTTGACCAATTAAATTCGTTCGATTCAGACAAATTATTTGAAAATAAATTAAAGCATGATAATACAGATATTCATATTAATTAATATTATTCATGGGTAGGAATTAATTAATTTCGAGTACCTATTCCTGGGCCATTATATTCCTCCAGTTCCCTCTCCTTCATCATCCTGAGGATATCCTCACGACTAGTTCGACTCCTGTTCCTCTTCCCCAGTTTTCCCTCAACAATTTTCGACATCTCCTCATCGTGCCTCGCAATGTACCTATAAAATATAAATCGATAAATCTCCACGCGATATCTCGTAATAACCGTTCATTAAATGAAAATTGAATTTGCCTACTTCTCCAGCAATTCACCAGTCAGATTTGATGGATAAGGGCAGACGTCTGGTATCATGTGTTCACGGATCCACATCATTTTTTCTCGTATCAAGTTCTGTTTCATTGAACCGGTTTGCTTTGCATTCACCCTATTTGACGCTCTGTAATTACCCCAATTACGTAATAATGAGAAATTGTGAAAATTTTGGTAATTGAGGAAAAGTAATCATTACTTTTTACTCTTTTTCGCTATTGCCAGGACTTTTCGACTGTTTGGGTGTAGCAATTTCTTCTGTTTCATAAGCTCTTTTTTCATTATTGCTGACTGGAACAGAGACATTCATTTTTTATGAAAATTACATCAACGTCATTTTATTATTAATATTTATCTTGAGAACAATAATTTTGAGACAAAAACGACAGAAATATTCTTTCTGCATAATTAAAATTCTCACCATTTTTGCAGTATGTTTTTTATAATTTTAGATTTTTCGGGAGAACTTAACCTGAACAACGACCTCTTGAATTAAAATATCGATTTACTTGACTTTAAATCGATAATTCTTTATAATTATTTATCACGATGAATTGACAATTGTATCAGAGATTGAGAACAGAACGTACAGCTGCGAAACACGTGGGTCACACGTTAAAAAACACAAGAACAATTGTTTTTTTTTCTGTTAGGACTGCATTATCGACTTTGCAATGACATAACCTTCAGAAATATCTTGCACGTGTGTCACTGTCAAAACTGCACTCCACGTCGTAGTTACCTCAATTGTTAATAAATTACATTGCACTCTAGAAAATAAAAAAATGTCGGGAGTAATTATTGAGAATCAATTTAGTGATGCGAGTGACTCAGAAGATCTCCAGAGGTAAACCCCAAGGAAAAAAAAATAATTCCTGAGTTGTTGGAAAAAAAAATTTCCTGAATATTTTGAGTGTTATTTCCAGAATCGATAGGTTAAAAGGGAAACCATCTTGGTTGGAGTCCCCCGAGGATACCCCAGTAATCGCAGACCTCCACCTGGAGAACACAAGCGACGATGAGGATAGTGTCGACCTGAGTGAGGACGAGTGGGACCTGGAGGATTCTCCATGCTCCAAAACCTCGAACACCCAAGCAGCCTCCCACAAGATCTCGAGCTTCCAGCCGTCAGACAAGCTCTTCCGTCGTTACTCCAATAAAATAAACATCGAGAAGTACGAAGGGCCATCCTTACCCCACAGTGCAGCCAACGTCCTCATCGAGAACACGAAGAAATATGATAAGGACAGACTACGACGAAAGGACAAACACGATCGTGCAACCGTCGAGCAGGTGATGGATCCGAAGACTCGAATGATTCTCTTCAAGATGCTGAACCAGGGGATCATCCTAGAGATCAACGGCTGCATTTCCACGGGAAAGGAAGCCAATGTCTATCACGCGACATCCAAGACAGGCATCGAGTTTGCTATTAAAATATATAAAACATCGATTTTACAATTCAAGGACAGAGACAAATACGTCAACGGTGAATTTAGATTTCGCCATGGGTACTGTCGTCACAATCCCAGGAAGATGGTGAAGACCTGGGCTGAGAAGGAGATGAGGAACCTGATAAGACTCAATCAGGCAGGGATCAGGAGTCCAAAGCCTATTATGCTGAGGAGTCACGTCCTTCTGATGGATTTCATCGGTAGTCAGGGTTGGCCTGCGCCAAAGCTCAAGGACGTTCTCCTCAAGTCCTCAGCACCTAGGAAACTTTACAGGGAGTGCGTGGAGATGATGTGGCGGCTCTACAATAAATCGAGACTGGTACACGCAGATCTCAGTGAATACAATTTGCTGCATCATGAGGAGTCGATTGTTGTTATTGATGTGTCACAGGCAGTGGAGCACGATCATCCGATGGCTCTGGAGTTCCTCAGGAAGGACTGCAATAATATCACGGAGTTCTTTAGGAAGAATGGAGTGGCTGTGATGTCGGTTAAGCAGCTTTTTGATTTTATTACAGATCCAACTGTCTGCGAGGAGAATATGGATGAGTATTTGGATGCTGTTGCTCAGAGGACGGGCCAGGAAGGTGGGGATGTCGACCCTGAGAGGGAGGTCGATGAAGAGGTTTTCAAACAGGCTTATATCCCGCAAAATTTGGCACAGGTGAAAGTCTCGAAATTTTTTTTGGTTTTTTTTTATATTTAGGAAATTGTTTGGCAATTTTAGGGAATTGCTGATTTTTTTCAGTTGATTGTAGATTTTGATGGGATTTTTATAGGTCATTGATGTGGAGCGAGATATCAAACTAGCCAAATCTGGAACTGATAGTTTAATTTATAAAACATTGGTGGGTCTTCGTGCAGATTTAAAAACAGCTGATAAACCAGAGATTCTGGAGGAGAATTCAGGGGATAGCGAGGACTCGGAGATGAGTTCAGATTCTGGGGACGAGGGCGAGACAAAATTTGTCAATGCATCGAGACCGAAGGACGAGACGCCAGAGGATAGGAAAGTGAGGAAAATTCTACGCAATAAATTGAGAATTCAAAAAATACGAATGGGTGGGAGGCGCTGTAAAATAATAAACGATTTCCTTCCTTTCAGTTGAGGAAAAAAGCTGTGAAGGAGCAGCAAGCGGAGAAGAGAAAAACAAAAGTGAAAAAACACGTGAAGAAGAGAAAAGAGAGGATTCAGAAAAAAAAATAAATAATCTAATCTAGTTCTTATCACTCGATATTACTCCGTGAAATAATGGGATTAAATAAAAAAGGAATAAGTACAACTTTTGTTTCACTTAGAGAAATAACTCTTCAGGCAATTGTTTACGAGTGGGAAAACTAGATTGTGTTCCTGGTTTAAGTACACTTTGTCGGGCTACTTGATTGGCTCTCCTGATCTGCTCCTCCAAGGTCAACTGCGGATAGTACGCCAGGAAAAAACCCAGAGCACCAATAAATGCATCCCCAGCTCCCTGAAAAAATCATTCCCCTCGTTCATTCTAAACTGTAAAATTGTCAATTTCATTTTTTAATGGAAATAAATTTCCTACCGTCGTATCGACAGGAGTGACGACTTCCACAGGCACATGGGTCAATCCCTGAGAAATTTTCGTTGCAAAAACAGCACCAGAAGCTCCTAATGTTATTATAACAGTATTACAACCTTTTTTAAAAAGAATATTCAAGGCACTTTGAGCATTTTCCAGAGTCAATCGTTCAATTCCAGTCATGAGCTCTGCCTAGAGTAATAAAAAGTCCAATTTATTCCATAATTAATCCCCTGATTAACCGATGCAAATTAATTAATACCACTTAATGGATTATTCAATTAATGAGTCAATCACCTCAGTCTCGTTAACGCAAAAAATATCGCAGTTCTGCAGAATCTCGGGATTGGGATTAGCAAATGCAGGTGCGCCATTGACAATTGAAATACCTGCACGTACATGAGATTAGATTAATGATTATTCGATTATTGCGTTGTGTTTTTACATTACCACAGCCTTTATACAGTTTTAATGCATGCAGAGTGGCATGCAGACCAGTTTCGAATTGTGCAAGCAATACAGAGGCCTTTTTTATTGTTTCCTGGGCCTCGTCTATATCTCTGGGACTCAACAAAGCGTTTGCTCCCAAAATTATCACTATACTGTTCTCCCCTGGGGATAGAAAATCCTCTGGTCAATCTAGATGTGTGTTTTGAGTGATAAAATTAAGAGTTTTACCATTTTCAGCTACTGTTATGTGAGCTATTCCACTTGACACGTTCTCCCGCAATTTTACGTGATTTGTGTTTATGTCGTGGGACTTGAGAAGGTCAAGGTACTCCTCCCCAAAAATGTCAGACCCCAACTGTTTGTTTAAATACATTATTATTAATTAATCCATTGTATTTTCGAATTTTTTGCCATTCTTGATAATGATTCGGTGAATTATGCAATTATTTCAGATAAAAATTGAATCGATGGATTTTTATAAATAAAATGAGATAAAATTAATCAATATAAATGGAATAGAAAAATGAATTAATTGAAAGAAGTAATCGAATAGTAATAAATTAAAATTAGAAAAAATTCTTCTGGAGTTTCAATTTAAAATCGAGACAATTAGAGAAAAAAAGGAAAAACTCGAGATTTTTTTTAATTTTTTAAATTAAAATCTCACCGATGCAACAAGAGCTGTTTCTCCTCCAAGTTTAGCAGCAGAAACGCATTGATTCGCCCCTTTGCCCCCGACTGTTCTCTTGAATTCTGTTCCTATGAGAGTTTCACCAGGTCTAGGTAATCTAGGTGAATAACTGGAAGAAATAGGATCGAGTGAACTCCAGGAGTTCCGAGAAAATTATAAAATAATGTCAGGAAGAAAAGGAATTGTTCCCCAGAGGAGGTGATACCTGGTGAAGTCGATCATGCAAGACCCCACGACGACGATGGACGTCGACATCTTTTCGATGAAATTCCCTGAAATTCGGTTCGAGTTTTGGTTTTTTTAAATATTTTCTCAGTGATTTTCCACCGGCCGATCGAGATGTCGAGAGAATTGTATCGTCTCCAAGCCATAAATAAAGACTGATAGAAAAAAAATTATGCAGTAGGGGAATAGCAGGGGTTTTATTATCTTATCTTCCTCATCAGGAAGAAATCAACGGTTGAGTCAAAGAGCATCGTAGTACTGCACCCCAAAAGAGGGAGGGCGCCATACGCAATGCTGGGGTGTTTTTTTTTAATTAACCAAGTTTTTATTGCAATGCTGGGGTGTCCATCAAGTCGACGGGGTGAATTTCATTTTCTGCAGTATGAATGTTCTTTGTTTTTTATTTGTTTTACTGAAATTTAGCCGACTGGAGAACGTGTGGAAGGGGGAAAACATATCTTGTGGAATTTCAATGAAAAAAATTATTCAATATGTTGAAGATATACCACTAATGAATTTATATTTTTAAACAAGCGCGTTATCCTAGCGGTAACGTGCTCGGCTAGCACGCCAACGGCCTGGGTTCGATCCCGCCGTCATTCATTTTTTTTTTTTTTTCATAATAATTCCAATTTTTTTTTGTTAATGGCAAATCAATCGAATTATTGTTTAAAAACTGAATACCTACTCGATTGTCATGCTCCCCTGATACTTTTTCTAAAATTTCGAATTTTTCACTATCAGTGAAAATTTCAGTGAATAGCTCCTCGATTGTCATGTTATCCTGATACTTTCTCAAAAATTTCGAATTTTTCTCTTTCAGTGAAAATTTCAGTGAATAGCTCCTCGATTGTCATGTTCTCCTGATACTTTTACAAAAATTTCGAATTTTTCAC